GTCAAAGTTTAGAGGAAGGAAGACATGGTTAGGCCGGAGTAAATTACAATCTCTTTGGCGAATGATGTAAGCTTAAGTAAATTTAAAATGGCAATTGCTGTTTTAGCAGACAAAAAGGAAGGGAAAGGACAAATAATTTCCTGACGCACTTCGCTGAAAAAAGGAAAGGGCAATAATTTTCTCCAATGCCAGTTGGAGAAAACCTTCCACCAATCAGATATGATTAGTGGATTATAGATATAAACATTGCCTCTATTCAACTTAATTAAAAATATATATGGGTGATACCCATGTTTATGAATGTAGTCAATGAAACGAAAGGTTTCAAGAAGAATATCAATTTTGTAAAAGAAAAGAACATTCGGTTGATTCAGTTGTCTATTTATTTATATCATATATCGGATATTAGATATCATTGAGATTGTTATATTTATTTTTTAGGGATAAGTATATCAGAAGTCCTAAAACTTATTGCGAAAGTGCAACTGAGTTGTAAACTTTTAAAAAGTGCAATTAAGTCATGAAATTTATCAAATTGGTGCAATAAAACCTTTTGGTAAATTCCATTTGATTTGGCTAATGAAAAAACTGACGTGTGGCACTGATGTAGCGCAAACCAAGTGCCATATCACGAAAAAAAACTTAAAAATTTTAAAAAATAAAGGATAAAAAGATTTAAAAAAGACGAAATTTAAAAAAAAAAAAAAGAAAGCCAAAAATCTAAAACTACCACCAGGAGGCTCGGCCACCTCGTCACCAGCGCTTCGAGCTTCATCTAGCTTGGCCATGTTGCTTGAGTTTTGTCGAGCTCACGACCATGGCCGCTTTAGCTCCTTCGAGCTCCCAACCATGGCCGCTCTAGCTTCCATGCTTCTTTAAGCTCATGGCCATGGTCAGGTAATGATGGGGTGCAGTTGTTGGAGCAGTCGTGGAGTTGGGCAACAATAGTGGTGGACGGATTTGGCGACTACAGCCAAGGAAGTAGAAGATGCTAGAGCTATAGATGCCCCATCAGCATCTCTTTTTTCAAAAGATAATAAAAAATTCCACATGAGCATCTTCAGTTACTCAAATCAGAGGGATTTAACTGAGGTACTTGATTGCGACAATATGACAAGACCTTAGGATTTCTGGTGCCCTCATCCCAAATTTTCAGTAAGATATTTTCGGATACAGGAATAGTCTGGATTCCTTTTATCATTTTTACTTGTTCATCGAGTAATAAGAAAAGAGTTTCATGAGAAAAGAAACGCATCTCTACCTTGCTCGAGCAACAAAGAATTCTAATGAGAAAGGTAGAAAGAGAAAGCAAAAGACAGACTCAAGGTTCTACCAGGAAACTGAGTTTTGCTTACACTGCTGAACATGGATCTGCAGCTCTAGGACTATGGACGCTCGAATCGCTCTCGCACATTCTCATTACATGCTCTAAAATGCACCAATCCTGTGGGGTAAATCTTGGGCGGTTCGCCTGTACGGCTAGAACACAACAGACCTTTATATATGGCGGAGCTTCAAGAAGTGCCGACCTAGAAGTAAGTGAGTCCCCCTAGGATCCAACCTTGTCGATTGGGATGATTGCTTCAGCCCGACGAGACAAAATGTGTTCGTCTTGCTTTCCTTGAGAATACCACCATTCCCTAGCCACGCTCGATTCTGCCGTCACTGCCGGGTAAGTCTAGAAATGAGTAAATAATCGAGTCAGCATTGTCAACCTCATTTTTTTTTTCCGTTTTAATAAATGTGTCGAATATGAAATCGACCCTTTTAATCTGGTCATGACACGTTCAGACACGTTTAATCGTATTGGTTAATTGACCCGTTATTTATGCCAGCATAACATGTTTAGACACATTGTTATATCCTTTTTTTCTTTTTGTTAAACATATTTATATATTAGGGCCAAACCCCAAAATGGAGCGCAACTTTTTACGTCCAAGAGGAAGATAACGCAACCATTCAAACGTCCCAAAGACAACCCGAACCTTTTGCACTCGGGGCAAAAGTTACATAATTTTTCAAATGTCCCTACAAAACCTAACATTTCATCAGCGGCACAAAAATGACACGCTTCGGAAATTTCGTTCATTCTCACAATTAAATCACCACAATCATCTTATGCGGCTCGCTCTGCTGCCGACGTGCACGGTGAGTCACGTCAACCAATACCGAAAAAGATGTCATTTTAAAATTTGTAGTTTTTGCTATCAAATTAAATTTATGATCTCTCTTATCAAATTTCTCGCGCTTTGGAACAAAAACGGTCGCAACTAACATGATTCGTTGTGCACTTCGGCTAGCGAACCACGTAGAATAAAGCGTGGCGATGTAATGGTGAGAACAGACGGAAATTTGTAATTGGTGGCAATTTTCGAAGGTCGAATTCCGATAAAATTTGGGAACACCCCCGGTGACGACAGGACACGATTCCTACAAATTTCAGCTTATATCCAATAATACGACTGTCGCCAAATCGGGGGGCCATTTCAAGACGGCCCCGGAATGCCGAAACTTCCACAGCGCAACCTGACGGGGAATACGGAGTTCGATCATTGGTTAGAGCGTAATCTTACATCACGAGTCACTCATTTGTCTAGTTACTACCGCAAAGAGGCACAAAGCATACATGGAAACATAAGAAGAAATGGAACGGAATTGTCATCAAAATGAAGGAAATCGGGTGGATTTGGGGTTATTTTTCCAAATATAATTTAAATTGATATTGGATGAGAAAAATGTTTACTTTAAATCTAGAATCTATCGAGGATTTGTGGGACACGTGGAGAGCTGTGGATACCCTTTTTTACAAAAAATCACAATGAAACAACCTTGACTACTTATTATTAGGGGTGAGCATGGTCCGGGTGGGCGGTTCCAACCCTGGAACCGATAACCGCCCACTAAGGATCAGTTTCGAAAAATTGGAATCAAGAACTGCTCATTAGTTCCATAGATCCATCCGATAATCAAACCACCGGTAACCAGATCGCCGGTCCAGTCCAATTCGCCGATGGGTGCATGGAACTAGTCCCACTAAGCTTCATGTAATGCCCAACCACGACATTCCTAGTCTCGATGATGCAAGTCCGACAACACGGGCGTTTGCTACCTTCTCCCTTCCAACAGTTCGGAGAGGAATTTCAAGCCAAAGTAAAGCAAAAATCAAAGAACTTCCATCTCAGACCAAACCATGCCATGAAACAAAGTTTCTCTCCAGTGAGCAGTTGTAGTTATTTATAGTTGCTCATATGACAACTGAATTTTCAGTAGCTAATGAAAAAAAATCTTCAAAAGCACTATAGTAGAGTGGAAGTCATGATATGAGAATACCTTGTTGTCCATCAAAATACTAACAGCATAGCCAGTTGCACGGGCGGCCTCCATGAAGATGACAAAGTCTAAAGAAAGCCTTTAAATACATAATCATTAGTGTCAGTGACGCTATTCCAAACAAATATAAAACCAAACATTGAGAGTCGAGGCCGTAAGTCGATGGGAATTGAGCTTGAGAGTCAAGACCATGAGTCGAGAGTCGAAAACGGAGAGATCGAGGTGAAAGTGAGACACTGAAATGAGAGAGTAGAGACCGAGATGAGAGTGAGATAGTGAGAGTTTGAGCGAGTATTAGACTAGGGCTTTTAGGATTTTCATTTTTTAAAAAGTAAATAAATATTATATATATTACTGGTTCGGTTCAGGTGAGCGGATGAGCAATCTCACACTTGGAACTAGGAACCAGACCAGTACTCATCGGTTTGGAACCGGGAATTGATCTAGTTCCGGACGGTTCTCGGTTCCTTTGCATACCCTTACAAATTGTTGGTGCCATAAAATTGTCAACTTTATCAAAGAATTAAAACTTGATGATGCAATTAATATCATTGACTATGCACTCGAGCCAAGGTTGATTAAGAGAGTGTTAATCCCCAGGAGACAAAGTTAAGCCACATAATCAAAATAGGGTCCTTGGCTAATGACCGGTAGTACATAATACATTTGCGATTGACAAAAATGAAAGATGTGTCTGTATAAACATTTAATTTTTACTTTTCATATGACCTTTTTTAACTCTGAACATCTGAAGCTTTCACAACATCAATATGTTAACACATGGATTCATATATAAGTTTTTCACAATTTCATAAAATTTGATCATGCTTTAAGTTTCGACGATAAACAACCGAAGTACTTTCTATTTATGCTCAACCTTAAACAATCTCTAAGATTGATGTCTATCAATTAACAGAAGTAGGAGCTTCAAAATTGACTGTGGGCAGTCAATAATATTAAGTCGACCAGAGAAGTAAAAGAGTGGGAAACAGTTATTGCAATCAAATCGGGAGTAAATATTAAATTTCTCTAGCCGGAACAATTTCCAAAACAGTCGAATTGCTCCTGAAGTTGTGCAATTTTATTTCACAAAAAATAAATGATTTGAAAAACATTTTCCTACACATGATCGCTTATATTACTTAAAAAAATGAATGATCGAAAAATATTTTTATTATTCACAAAAAAATTTAGATATAAATTATCGTCGATAATAAAAACACTTTTCATAGATTAATGATTTCAAGTGATATAAGCAATTATTTTTATGAATATATTTTTCAAATCATTCATTTTCCAACAAATAAAATCAAACATACTCTTGAAGTTTGAATTATATTAAGTCAACCAGGACAAAATATAGGGGGTACAGTAATCACAAAAGACATGCAGTTAAGATCAAACTCTTTAGGTGGGCACATTTCCGGTCGATTGCAAAGGGTCCAGGTTCGCCAGAGTCGATCAAGCACACGACTTCTAAACAAAGTAGAAGAATGGAATGCGCATCATCTCTCGACTTTAGACAAAGTACATAACTTCTAAACCAAACACTCAGATTGATCAAACTTAAAGCGTGATCAAGTGTGAGAAACCAATGAATCAAGCATGAGGCTTAACACGATAAGTCATCCCTAGAGTAACAAGACATCACATACAGAATTCGCATGAGATTTGACCAACTTTCCTGTGACAAATTTGAAATTCACAAACTATCCTGAAGATACAAATCTAAAACTAAAGCAGCTGGCTATACTTCGTCCAACCCTACAATTCGCTTGTAAATTGTTTGATAAGCACAAGAAAATTGTCGCTTCTTCTTTGCTAAGCCTGTTAACAATTTACAAGAATAACATAACTGGAAAAATTGCCTTCTAGCTCAATCCCAGACTCCAGGATTTGTCGCTGAACGATCAAACCTGAAGAGTAACATATAAGCACTCAAAACTGAATATCTTCCCGATACCATGACACGCGATCTAAAATTTATATAACATGCAGCACCTGCAGCCTATTACTGCAAACCACTCGTAAATGCTCAACTTTCAATGCCAACTAACATCAGTTCTAAGAATTACCTGAATAACAAACATCAAGCTGACTCTGATTCGATCATAACAAATGCTTGAATAAGAGACTGAGCAGCATGAGTTTGCTCAGGCGTCCCTGATATTATAATCACAGTGTCAGTGGCTCCAGGCTTTGGTTCCGTGATTGTAATCCTTGCATCAGAAATCTGTAAAAGGGTTGGAGAAAAGGAATTCAAGCTGGTGTCAACTAGTGCCAGAAAGTCACCGTGAACTTTGAAATTTCACTGATGATTTTGGTATCTCTTAATTGTCCCAAATATTGCTAACCCTGAACTTAAGACTATCAAGAACAGGAAGCTGGGACACACATAACAAAAACAAACAAAGTAAAAGGTCATTAAGAGGAAAACAAAAATTTCACACAATCAGCATCGCGCCCCATTTTCTACATACCGGGAAAGGTGAAAAATAAAGGCTCCCTCTATTTCCACACTTTAAATGACTATAACACACCCTAACTTATTGAGTTGACGAAAATAACATCAAGAGAATTAATTGGTCAAAATAATAAGGTGGAAAGAGTGAAAGTTGATGGTTATTGAAAATGCAAAAGCTGCACATTATACAACTGTCCGCATTAGTCAAAGCAATGGCATTTTATTTCTCCACCCTCTGATATTTGCCGTTCGTTTATATACCTCTCTTATACTAACGAATTTGTTTAAGCTTTCTATGAGGGATTTTGGTAATCTTCGTCAATTAACATATCTCATATCTAAATTATAATCACATAGAGTTCACAACTTTAACCAAAGAATTCCACTCAAAAAAGAACTTGAACCAACGATATTCGTATATGACAAAGAGTTATTAGTTATTGAACTTTGGAGAGAGTTTGCAATAAATGTTCTAGACATCACCACTTTATTAATATTCTTTTAAATATACGTGTCCGATCATCAAATCTATTAAACTCAAATCTTAGAGGATTCTTGTAAAAAAGCAATGATACTGCAAATTTCTCCAACTTGATAAAAATAAAGCAGCGCAATGTAGTAAAAAAAATCCATGTAGCTGAAAATGCTTAGGCTTTAGTTGCAGCATCAGAGTTGAGCAAATTAATTTGTATTCTCAAAGACAAAAGGCCGGAAATGGCATGTATCTATAACTTAAGTGCTCAAAGAGGAAATTAGGAAGCAAAATGCACCTGACGGATCTGCTTCAAGCATCCACCTTCTTCTCCGTATATTACAGGAACAATAGAACGAGGAACAACTACTTCAACAGTGGTATTTGTAATGATGGCTGGTTGACTGCCTCTCGACAAATCAAAAGATCTGGTTGGAAAAATATTAAATCCCCATCATTCATGATTTTATACACTGGATGGGAAGTCAATGGTGACATCCCTCAAGTTTGAAACTTTCAACAAACAATATACTCACCCTCCAAATCCTGGAATTCTTCTTGGGGGACCTGCAAAATCTGGAAAGTCCAAAGGGCCACCGCCTTCCATATGGCTCTGCAAGTAAATTTGAGAATTATGTATGTAATTTTCATACATGACTAATAATCTGCATCCTTCAAATAATATCTGAAAATAACATTCACAATTCAAATGTAGTTGAGCTCTTCTTCTACAACCAAGGGCAAGAAGGAAAGTTCAAGGGGCATCAAACATCCGCCGTGAAATTTTTAAAGGCACAACCTACTTCAGAATCCAGAAAATGCAACCAAAAACAAGTTATATAAAAATAGAGCAAAAAGTTGCTCCCAATACTTTAACAGGCCATTATTAGAAACTGTCATATAACCAATGTTAAAAACCTTCAATTATATAAAAGCACAATAAATATACAAAGGATAAACTCATAGAACAGAAAGAAGTTTTACGATACGGTGTTAAACTTTGACCAGAGATAAGTGTGATACCTGACCCCATGGTCCTCTTTCAGGGATATGGGGGCGTAGACCAGGTCTAAATGGTCTTTGCATAAAAGGAGGATCTTCGTGGGAATAAAATGCACCACGGGGACCACCTAGAGTATCAAACTTACGCGTGGATGGACCAAAACTGGAATACATGCCAGGGGGTGACAGTTCCCTCCTTCCCATAAATGAAGGAAAAGGAGGTGCTGGATCCAGAAAGGGTGGAATGGATGGACGATCTATCATAGGAAATACATCGCGGAAAAAGTGAAATTTCAACCTACTGGTTATCTGCAAAAGAGCGTCCTGAACTGCCTCATATTCTCCATTAATCTGTCATTTACAAAATAAGCAGCATAAACAGCAAGCCCGGAAACATAAGCCCGGAAAATAGACAATGCCTTTCAGAAAGATAGTACAGCATGAACCAAACACCCAAGAATAAGAAACAATGTCAGCACTGCGAACAATTGCAAGTAAAGTCAAATATGTATGTGTCCCCGTTTGTTATGATCAAGTGAACAGAAACTTGCACCTGTCACGTGAAAGGTTACAAGACTTCTATACTTGACGTGTTACAGGCAGAGAAATTTGAGATTTGTTGACTCAACCTTGCATTTTCCCTTAATCTAGACAGAGAATTGTGATGTCAACAACTTCGTTTCTATGAGATTATCTCCAAATGTATCAAGTTTAAGTGCCTTTTTGAGATCTATTAAATACAAACCAGGCATTATATCAAAGCATAATGAGGCCTTTAAAGTGTTCGTTATCCCGGATATAAGCTAACTAGCTGAAAAAAAGAAGAAGTGCAGGAACAATGACATGTCTGGAAAAACACCATATGGAGCATAGTCATCCAAGTAATGGACTCAGCTCCTCAAGTTAATCACCAGTAAATGCTTAATGTAAAATTCATGGTCTATGATTAAGACAACTTCCCTTGTTTCAACCATAATTTAGATTAGAAGACATCTCAACAAAACGGACCTGCACAACTTCTTCATTTTCTGAAGCACATGTAGGAATTTGATCCTTTCCCAAAATTCTAATATAAGCTCCAGATGACTTCCGCATTTCAGCTATTACAGAGCCACCTTTGCCAAGAAGACAACCAATTTGATTAGACGAGACAAGCATCCTGGCTGTGACAGAGTTGTCCTTGCTATCGGGTGTAGATCTAACAATCCTGTTTTGGACACGAAGAACTGCATCTTGGACAGCTGATACCCTATCTTCTGGGTACTAAACATGCCAATCAACATAAGCACCGTAAATAGCTATATGAACCATAGACAAACATAAACTGAACTTTTAGCATATATTAAGGAGAAGGAAGAGAATCAAAATCATACAGCTGCACCAGATATGGCAACAATACGATCTTCTGCATCAGAAAGACCTTCCACAACTTTGATCTCACATCTGGTATCCTGCTCAAGAGTCCTGACCACATTTCCGCCTTTACCAATGATGCCACCAACTCTCTCACTACTACATAGCAAGCGGAAACATAAAACTTCCTGAGGTGGCCTCATTTGACCCGCTAAACCACCTTCATTTAATTTAGGCATCATATGACGCGCAGTAGAACGATAACCACGACCATCCCGTGTGCTAGAAGAAAATTTTGCGGCACCTTGAACAGCATCTGATCGATGAAGTGCATGGCCAGATGAGTTAGATGACTGCCCAGTCGTGTTAGCAGGGGATGTCTCATGATCTCGAGGTACATAATCACTAAGTTGTTGAGAAACCAACAAGAGAGCTTTTCTAACAGCCTCAATTTCTCCTGTAATCTGCAGCATTGATAGGCTATGTAAAGAAACTAATTAAATGAAAACATTAGGAATTTCAATAAACGAAGCACATTTCATTAAATGCCAATATCCACTTAATGGACTAACACAGCATAGGTTGCCATTGCTCCACTGTATCAAGCAACAAGCCACAACAGAGCCATGTAGCAGCATCTGAGATCAATCAGATGCAAGATGAAATATACTTCAAGGCAATGAGGTTCCAGTGAAGAAATTAAAAAGAGCTCAAACAAGCTCAACTTGTCAGGGAAACTGCCTTCGTTAGTACAATGATGACACTCATGCACTATCATTGATAAATTGTCATCAATTGAAAGAAATGGAGTAAATTTATTCACGCATGGTCCAACATCCATATCATTTACTGCATATATCACAAAGACACACTGAAACCCTTCCCCTAAGCAGCACTGTTTTTACACATACTACATATGCTCAAAATTGCAAAGTTCTAACAAATATCCCTCCTCTAGCGGCACAACAGAGAATATTGTTTTCCCTATCACCTTCTCCAGGAAAACACAAAAGAAGAGTAAAATTGACAATGTTTTGCTAAAGCATGTCACAGATAAGGCCTCCCATATGATCCTTGGCACCTCAAGCTTCAAAGCCCACAGCGAACAAATAAAAAGTCAATCATTTACTGATATGAGAGGTGTTTGGTTAGATTTAGTTACTAACAGTAGGAATCCGTATTCTAAAGTACTTCTGAAAGCAAAGAGCCACACCCAGTGCAATCATATATATTAAGGTCTCTCCCACGTAAAAGGCAGATCCTAAGCTCCAGGTTATAATTGAAAGAAGAAACATTGCACAGCAATGTAATTTTGCTCAGTGAAACAAGCTGGTCATACGCCGCAGAGAATCCACAAGTATACTCTGTTTAGATTTTGTTCCCTTGTACTTTGGCAGATGAACAAAATGTCAAAAGCAGGATGTCCATTTTGTTTGCAAAAAACTAAACAAAACTCATGATTAGAGTCACTGGACAATGTAATATCTGCACTGTAAAAAAAAAAGAGTTGCCCGAACACTCTGAATTACTGAAACTTACCTGCACTATATCATCAGAAGGTGATGTGCAGAGAGGAAGCTTATCCCTGGGAAGAATTTGAATCTGTGCCCCACTCTCATTTGACATTTGCTTGATTACACTTCCTCCTTTTCCCAAAACACATCCTACTTGACTTGATAGCACGAGCAACCTAAGTACATACGGGGATGATTTCTTATCATCTTCATCACCTACGTCGGGCTCTGTTTCTCCTTCAACCAACCTCTCAAAAACAAGTAAAAGAGCTCGCTGTGCAGACGAAACTTCCTTTTCATGTTTCAAATCTTCAACTTCAACAGGCTCCTTATCTTCATTGCTTTCACTCTGCTCTTTGGCATCTGCAACCTCTTTATCGGCAGTAGCCTCTTCACTTCTATCCTCCTGATCCATCTTAGATGCAGATTCCACCTCTCCAGAACCTAAAATAACTACTACTCTTTCGTCACATCCAGGGACACTTTCCTCCACTCTTACCTCCATGCCAGTTTCTTCATGAATCTGAGAGATGAATATACCACCATTTTCCAAGAAATTGCCACACTTTGCAGCAGGACAGAGCACACGGTAAACAAGGGTCCCTGGAGAAGGCTGATTTTGTGATTTCCCAACAGAATTTTGCCTTTTCGCTTTGCCATTTGGCTCTAATCCCTGATCACTAGGTCTCTTGGAGGGTGTCAATGGAAGAGACATATCTTTTCAACGTGAGTCAAACCTAATCCATTGAAGATATGGAAAAATTAGACTTATAGACAATCAGAAGAGCAGCCATCCTATTTGTGTTAAGTGCTACATGACTATATTGAATCAAACCTCTAAAATATATGATTAGCAAGATCTCCAAAATGCATAATTATCCGAGGGCTTTTTAAATAACAAGGGCTTTTTAAAAGTGTGCATAGATTAGATGAATTTCAATGACAACTCTGCAACCCGTCGCCATAGTTCTTAGCTATTAAGGGCATGTGGCCACGGACCCGGTAAATAGCCGGAACAGAAAAATGCATCAGTTGATGTATTCATTGAGGATCCACCGCTTAATGTCCCGAAGATTTTTGGCTAGCTTCACATGCCACTACAGACCAGAGACATTGCCATCATGTGATGATGCCACACAATCAAGTTTGGATACACCAAACGGTTCGAATCAGCCATTCGACGGTGCCGGAAACCGCAATGACTGACACATATCATCCTTTTCGTTCCATCAGCTATGAAGAGCTCAAAAAGGTTAGCCCCGACCGAAAGGGTGGACACAGGCATCTACCCATCCATGCAAAATCCCATATCTATGAAAAAATTTGACCTTCAAATAGCAAAGCGGCAACCCAACATCTGCAATTTGAAAAGAATCAAACTTCGGGGGTAAAAAAGAAAAGCTAAAAGCAACCTGTGACTGTGGGCGGCCGAGGAGAGCTCTCGCGCTCGCGTCGTGGTATATCCTTGGGCCAGCGGACCGAGATGCCGGAGGCGGCGGCGTCAGTCGTCCCTAATGAGAGGGCGGCGGGCGGCGGTCCCGCGTGGTGGCGCAACCGCGGTTCCTCTAGTGAGAAAGAGAGCTGCTCATGGGGGAGAGAGAGAGAGACCGTCAGCATGAGAGACTGGAGAACACCTCGTTAAATTCTCGGGCCGGGCTGGGCTGGTATTGGGCTTTGTTAGCAGAGACAAGGCCCAATAGCCAAACAATTGATTGGGCTTTCCGGGTTTGGGTGGGGCGGGCTACGGGCCGACGCTGTCTAGGCAAACCCGACCCGCCCGTTCTCACTAACATTTGCTTCGTGTCTTTTCTTATAATTCTCTTTTGGCTAGGAAAAGAATCGAAGATTGGCAAGGAGCGTAGCTGCCGCCCCCTCTCAACATTTATCATAATACTCCACCACCATGCCGTGGAATGTTTGGTTGATCTACCGAGTGTGACGTTTGCATGCTCCCGGTCAAACTACAGTGCACCCGAACCTCAGACCGACCTCCAGAATGGGCTTCTTGCGGAGGTCATTCCATCGTCATGATACCAATAAATTGCTAATCGGATAAGTACCCCTCCAGAGAGGGTTAGCTCGAAATTTAATTCCCAGAGTCCTAGAATCTGAATCTGTGACCACGTGAAGGGAAACCAATTTGCTTCCCATGGTACGAACCGCATTTTACACATCACATATCTATGCACGTCTAATGAGTGATCGCAAATAATCTTTTTAGTTCACGTGCATCGGTAAGACTCTGCATGAACATGTAATACTCCCAAGGGAGTAGATGGGAGTACAAGTATTAAACGCATCTATCAAATCCAAGGAGCTCGACATTCCTAATTCCCCATTAATTCCTCGGGGAAGTTCGAAGGATCATTGGATTTGGATGAGGAGATATTGTAATTGGACTAATTTTCATTATATAATGTAAGTAATGAGGTCCCAAGGTCTTATGATCTCTCATGCGACCAAGAGGAACCACACCAAATAGGAGGATGAAAAGTAGCTCAAAGTAATGTAATGGCATTTTCTCAACGTAGGTGATAATATTACACAAAGATTATCCTCTTGATAGATATAATAACATGATCACCGTAGAATCAAAATTGAAAAACACTTCGCAGAAAGGTTTGATTATCTCATAGAGACTTTAACATAAACTCGTAAAATTATAAACCTAGAGAAAATTTATGTATAAAAATTACTGTAGTAACACAAAGAACGTGGCGTAGGCATCATCCACGAGTCCTTACCGCAGTTATACCCATCCGATTTATACGACGAGCACCAGAAAACGTGTCTTGCATTTGAATTAAAAAATTGAAAGAATCTCTTGTCATTACCGATCACTAGAGGCTTAGCTACTGAAGCGTAAGAGCATTAACGCCGTTGCCTAAACACATTATTGTGTTATTTGCATGGTGTGAATACTCGCAAACCACAGCATGCTAAAAGCAAGAAGAAGAAGAGGAGCAAAAGGGAACTTTCAAGGAAGGGGAGGGACTAAAACGAACGGGACGTACGAAACTTGCGAGGGTATTTGACGTTGAATATGATGATAGATGAAGGAATAAGGCGACGTCTTAATCAAATCCTTGATGGTGATTGGCCCAGAACTTTCCCCATCGTTTGCTTCCTAGATTCAAAGCTGATCGACATGTCTGTCTTACTTTAGATTGTATAAACTTGTAATGCTTTTTCCAAAGAGGCAAACATCATTGGACCCTCGAAAACGATGGTGGTGATGGGGGTGGACAGAAGATGGGCCACGCGGATCTTGGACCGGAAAAAGAACGTATGGGACGTCTCAAGGAATCGGGGGTGAATAGCTTTGTAAGAGGTGGTTCGATTGGACATCGAAGACACCAAATTTTGGTTGATGTACTAAGGAAAAGTATCGTTGCCTGCACTAATTAAGTGTAGCTTTATCGGAAACTTTTTGTATTAGATGATTTGATAAGACACGATACACTTTATTGTATGTGAATTCGTTCTATATTTTTGTGCAAAATTTCCGGCTATATTTCGTCGTTATTCGGCCTAAATCCTGACTCCGTCACTGTTTATGGTCTCGTATTCAAGTCTTGTCGAGAACATTTCAAGAGTAAAATCCTGAATGGACCAAGCTGATGTGAAGGAGCGCACCTTTAAGATCGCCTAGGAAAGCGAACCAGTTGAGATGCGGCGGAAATTGGCCCGGGCACCATCTTACCTCTAAAACAAAAGGAAAGCGAACATGGCAATTTACCACTCGACGTGCTAGCCCAATGATAAAAGGGTTACATTCATTGTCCGTGAGGCCTTACTCTAATCTCTCAAGGCATGAAGTTTTGCAAATTCATATATAACATCGAGTTTCTGATTGGGGACGGTGATATGCACGCATTGCAGAACTGGATAGAAACATATGCTTGGTGCTCTTGCAAATTTGCGACTATAATATGATGATTAGGAGAAGATAACGGGAACACGATCATTCCGCCAAGTTTTTCATCCGCGGTTCTCGAAACCAACCCGTACGTTTTAAACGTCGAAACGGTAGGTTTGTTTCAAACGCTTGTGAATGAACAAAAACGAAATATAGAGGACAAGATTGAGTCAAGGACAAGAAGGCCTATCTTGCCTTTCCATTGGTCCCTTTCCAATCCGTTTTCATTATTTTTTTTTGTGAGCCTAAAAAACAGAAGAAAAGCTACTCAAACATTTAATTTCAAAAGTCAAAACCCTCAACTCGCAGTAAAAAAATGGATTAGTCCCTCCACCCTTTCCACGGTTAAAAATAAAGTGAGTTTGCTATCAGAAAAGAAAAAAAATTGTAGGATGAAATTATCTCCTTTTTTTTTTGAACGACCTAAAAAAGTACACAAACTTTTACTCGATGGAAAGAAATACCCGTCTCATAAAAAATATAATGAAAAAGGACAAAGTGTACTTGACCGTCAAATTTATCGGGGCTAAAAATATCAGATATAATTCGCTTATTTGTCAAAATACAAAGAGAAAAGTCCAATACTACACGACGCGATATACCTTAGCTCGTATATCTACACGAAGCAACGCACTGTAAGAATTTAATCATGGAATTGAGCCCGTTTGTTTTCAGTCAAGCAAAAGCAAAAGCTAATTTATAACTTATCTAAATATTAAAAAAAAATAATGAAAAAAAAATATTTTAATTTATGTGTCAACAATTATAAATATCGAAAGTTTCGGGTACTTTGGATTGAAAAAAATGTCAAAGTGCATGAGCCGCAAGATTTTGATTAAGTAAAAAGTAAACCGTAAACATTAATCCCGTCGCTCCCTCAGGTAAAAACTCCAAATACTCTCTTCTCCAGCAGTCTTGCCTATTTCCCAAATCACGGATCATAGGTCCACAAAACCCAACCCCCATATGTCCGTACCCTAACCTCCTCCGCCCTGCCTTTGTCGAACGTTGTCGCACCACCACTAGCCGCCTATTTCGTGGTCGAGCTTCGTCGCTCCGCTCTACCGCCACCTCCAACGACGAAACCCCCCTCTTCTCTCTCTCTCACTCACAGCCGCCTACCGTGCAAAATCTCGGCCACCATCACAGTGCCACCTCTGCATGACCTCAGCTCGCTGCCAATGGTGAAGCTCAATGCTACGTTGAGCTCCACCTCCTCTGCCGGAGCTGTCTCATCCGAGCTGGAGGCGACAACTCCTCCATGCCCATCAGAACCCCGTCGACGAAGCCGAGATCCAACGGTCATGGAGGTGGATTTTGTGATCGAGAGGACAACATTAGAGCTATGAAAGGGGCAACTATAGGTGAATGACAGCTGCAAGTAGGCTATGGTTGTTAGGACTTTATAATTGAGATTTTCTTTTAGGAGGATTTAGTGAATTCAGAGCATGAATATGAAAACGGAGAGAGTGAGGGATTGAGATGGTTATAGGGTCTTCAATAGTTGGATTCGATCCCTAGAAATTGTAGAAGAATGAAGCGAAACAGAAGCCAATGGAATTCAATAAAGTGTATAGTGAACGGTATTCATTGGTGAGCTTCACCAACTACAGAACTCGTATATGATTACATTGTCTTTAGTCTTTTTTCTAAACCAGAAGCACTACAAATGACACACACAACAAATTCACACACAGGTACAGCAGGATTCTAGGCGCTTCATAAATCAATCTGAACATCCGAAAATGGCATGTCGTCGAGTGGCTGGACAAGCTGCAGAAACCGGTCGGAGCCCTGGGCCAGCAGACCGGATGACGCCAAAACATACACCAGTAAGCACAGATTGATGACCAGCCACATGACCAAAGAGAGGTTCGTCCAAAGAAGCAGCTCGAACCCAAGAGTCCCGAAAACAATGTACAAGTACCAGTAGACCCGACTCGGGCTCGCACGTACAGTCACCTCGATCAATGATACTAGATAAACGGCTTCGCATAGGATGTATAGCGAACCGAAATGCGCCACCAGGAGCAGCTTCAGCAAACCGAACACCACGTGGAACTTTCCAACCGAGCTGAGCCATCCCTGTTGCTGTTGGTGCTGGTGCTGCGGCTGCTGATGGTCGTCCCTGTATCAGACCGGAAAGAAATCGATTACAAACAAATCGAGAAAAGGACCTGGTTGCTGGACCTGCACTTCCAACCGCAACGGCAGTCTTCAGAAAAAATGCGTTCGCGAGCGAAGCGCGTACCTTTGGATTCCAACTTGAATTGTTACGCTCGTATGATCTGCCATGTTCCTCGGCTTTGGTGTTGTGACTCTGTTCGGGCTCTGTAGATGTCGGATGCTCTGCTCTGTGGAGCTCAATGAACTCTTGTCTGTGAGACTTGTGAATGGCGAAGAGGAAGTTGAGCTGAGCATGCTTATATAGTCTCCGTCGGTATTCAAAATTTCTCCGCTCTTTTTTTATTGAAAGAAACTGGGGTCGATCGTCAAATAAACGGGACGTCTCGTTCTTCTTCAATGTGCAGGGGAGGTACTTGTCGTCGCCCCTTCTGAAGTTTTTCCCTCAAGAATGACAGTCACAAGTAGTTTCGCAGCGAAAGAGGTCAACCTCATTCGTCTTCGACCACGATATCTTTAAATAAACTAGTGATTGATTAAAAAGTTATGTCACTCGAGTTATC